TTGAAAGTTCTTAATTAATAATAGTTTAAAATTTAAATAGAGAGACATTAGGCCGATCGTTGATTCTTTCAAGACAAGTTTAGATCAACACTAGGACACATCAATTTAAATTCTTTAAAATTATAGATCAATATTTTCCTTTTAATTTTTATACATTTTCATTTTACACAATCAATACTACTCATACTTTAGCCTCTAGTTTGGGAAGAATTTATAATTGATTAATTTTTAAGTAAATCGAAATAAATGAAGAATAAGTAAATAATATCGGTGTTATCCATTAAAATGTATAGTTGAACTTCGGAACAATAGCAACTCAGAGTGCATTTAATGTATATTACAATAAATGTAAGTTAAAGAGTATAAATACTACTATGAAATAAATAAGAAAACGAATAATGTTATTTATCTAGATTCTGTCCATGTAACAATGAGGTCGCTGTCACATTGTCCAATGAAAGTATTATCTCCTCAAACCCAACCTCATTACGCAGAGAGGTGATTATTACAGGTGGTAATCCATGCATTAAAGTGTCCCTAAAGTGTCCAAAATAAACAATAAAATATATATTTATTTATATTTAAAAAATGAGTGTTGTTATGTATCCCATCTATAATCTTCTTCCTTCCTTCCTTCCCATGTGAATAATGAACCAAAAGGGTTATATATCCCACTAGGATAATAACCATATGATACATCATTAATGACGTGTTCGGTAAATATTAAAATCGAATTAAAATTGAAACTAGCCGTTATTGTTGACTTTTATTAGACGAGTGAGACCCAATAACGACTATATTTACAATTTTAATTGAATTTTAAGTTTAGCCAAACATGCTCTAAATAGCAAGACCAATAAAATGAATTCATAATCATACATTTACATTTTATGACACACGTATCATGTCACGTAAACGTGTGATCATTTCTAGTAAAGATAAATAGAGTATTGTCATTCATCATCACTGATTACCCACAGGGACTGACGCTACATTCAGATAACTTTAATTGATTTGCAATTTTAGATGTAAACTTTAGGATGACAAATCAATTAATATCACGTCATCGATTGATAAGTACTAATAATAATGCTCATATATATGGTATTATTCTTAACAAAATCGAACATGTTGTGTGCCATATAAGACACGTGTCTAAAGAACATTAATGTCCACTTTTCCACACGTGGTAACACAATCACACTATCCCAATAGGGGTGTCATGCTTTATGCTTAACCATTTAGGAGAAAGAATTCACTGAGCATATAAGATATTCGATCATAAATAACTAATGTGGTATCTTTACCCAATTTGTGCACCAAACTTTGCCCCAAAGCTTACACACACAAACCCCATCACGATATCAGCATCAGCATAAGCAAATATCAACAAGCTTAGTCACAAGAAAAATCCGTATAAAAAAAAAAGAACCAGTGTCACATACACCAAAGCTTCTCCACCTCTCAATTTGTTTGTCATTGTTTTAAAGTTCTGCAGAGTTGCTCCTGCGGACAAATGAACCCCGTTGATGGCCACGAACAATCACATCTTTAAAAATCGGGATATGGGACCAAGTATCCTGCCCATCTTCTGTACCGAGAATAAATACAACACAGAGTTATAATATCAAAATGAGCTAAATGCCTACGAAGTAGAGCAAATAATTGGATCCAGGAAAACAAATTTTCAATTGAATAATGCTATTCATCATTATATATCATTATTAGTCTAAGTAGCAGTGAACCCCTAAATTCATTGTCCAATGAAATAAAATGCATCACAACTCCATTTGTGATTTGGCAATGAATTATAGGATCCGGATAAATCTACTTGTACATCAAAA